ATTAGATCTAAGTTCATATTGAAAATAGCCTTTAATATCAAATTAACATCTGCTCGATTCATCAATTCAATATTGCTATACTTTTACAATCAAATCACATCTGGTCGATTAATAATCCAATTGTAAAGAATTAATTCAATAAGAAATTATCATGCAATATTAATAATCAACAATAACAAATTACCCCTTCATATTAATTATGGATCCCCATAAACCCTAGAATTAAACTACTCGGACATAATTAAAACTAAACTAATCAAAGAAATTAAACAATTCATGAAGAAACAAAGTAATAAAATTGCTGAAATTAATAAAATAAGAAATCGTTACCAAAGTAATCGGAATTAAGGAGTTGAGTCAAGAACAAGAGTGAGTTGTAAGAGAGAGAAAATTAGAGAGAGAAATAATCTAAGTAGAGAGAGAAAGTCTAAGAAGAGAGGTACTAAGCAAAAGCATTCAAATCGTACTTAAACAACAATCTAAAATTACTCCGTCCTAATTAGAAACTAAGAAATCGCCGAAGATGCCTCCCCATAAACACGCGCCCGATCGGGCCCGCCTTTTTCTTCGCACATCCTTCTGAGCAGCCGCGCCCGATCGAGCCAATGCTTGGAACTTCGATTGGGCTTTCTTCTTAGCCCAATTCGGATATCCACCTAAGGTCTTGAATACTCGATCCAACGCTCGTATTCCACATGTCGAGCCCTTAATTAATCACCGGCTTGATGACTCTAACCGGCCTTGGGCTTCAAAAACGGTTGTGCTCCTCCAATGTCCGTAGTTGCTCCATGAAAACCCGAGAAAATGCTCCAAAAGTGAAATTTCCTACAAAACTCAACCAAAACTACGAAAACACTAGAAAATACCAATTAGTTTTAAAAGTGGCTCTAAAGAGCCAAAAACACTACTAATTATGACCAAGGGACAGGGGTAAAATACTATGTAAATTAGACACATCACCCACCATAATGCTAACAACGGCCGGGCCAGTACAAACAGATCAATACCAAATCTCTGCAAGATAACAACCAAAGCAGGTATTATATGTAATTAATCATAACAATTCAAATTTTCACTAGTGTTAGGCTCGGGCGATGCCCCAAATTACTGCATTATTTCCATGATAAAAATCTTTATTAATATTTTATTTTTATTGAATGACATGTAATACGGTAATAGCTTAGTGGCTAACACGTTGAAATTTAAACTTGAAGTTGTGGGTTCAAATCTTGTAAGAACCATGTTTTTAGACATGGAGTGAAATTCGGATTAAATGAGAAGAGCGCTACATGACACCTAAACTTCATTAGGAACGCCTTGAGGAGAGCTCTACGTGGCATCTCAACTTCTTTAGGAACGCCTTTTAATATATAGTATAGATAGATATAGATGTAATTTAATATTAGTATAGATTATTATAACTTGACAAAAATAATTTATAATAATCTTTTATTAATAATTATTATGGATTAGGGATTGTATTATGATCTATATATGGAGTAATATTTTTCCTAAACATGTGATTAGTTTTTAAATTCTTTCTAAAATAAAATAATTAGACAACAAATAAGGTTATTTACCTATTAGCCAACTTTTTTTTTCTTACCAAACATTACTTAACTGGTGATTCTACCAAAAAAAAAAAAACCCAAATCAATTTAAGGACAGAGTAAGGACACACCGGGATAGTGGCAGATCCATTATAGGTTCAGTGGGTTGAACCCATATTGGATTTGTAACAAAACTGATCGAGTTATCTCTATATACAAATCAGTTAATAATTATATTAAATATAACACACCATGTGTTTATATATGCTCAACAACCAACGGTTAGAGCCCTATTTTAAACATCAAACCTCAAAGTCATAGGTCGCGTGTTCTAATTTGCGCAAATACTTTTATTCTCTCTCTCATTTTTTCTTTCTTTTTTTTTCACTTTTACTGCTCCCGAAAACCAAATTAATCATTTCCTAAGCAAAATTTAAAGTAGTAAGCGTAACTTTTTATCATCTCTCTTTAATTTCCGCAACACATTTTTTTTTGTGGTAACATTTCTCAGATTTAAGGCATGTCTTGATTTACTGAACTGATTAAAGGTAAATTGAATAGAGCTGAAATGAATTTTTTTATGAGAGAAGGAAATTAGGAACTGAACTAAACTGATTAAATGGATTGAAGCTGAACTAAACTGAAATTAAGTTGAAAAGAACATGCCCTCACTTTTAGATTAAGTGCTTTTTTGTTGTTGTAACTATTGATGATCAGAATTTACTCATTGATTCTTTAGTTGAATAAAATTAATTTGAAAAATGAAGACTAAAATGTGTTAGATTAATTTCAATATTTCATTTTTTTAGGGGATTTCATATTTTATGTAGGTTCAAAACGATAATTTACAATTTTACAAGTACGCTGTCAAGTGACTAATAATAGTTAGGGACAAATAGTATTCTTCACAAACTCATTTGAAGAAAAAGTTGCTCAACAAGATGGGCGATCAACTATTAAATGATTTTTTCAAAGTGATCTATCATCATCCTTAACAAGTTATTCACCAAGATGACTTATCTAATGCTTACTTTCGTTTTTTTGAGTTGACATGTATTTCTTTTTAGAATTTTTTTTTAGTTGACACGTTTCCTTTTGAGCTAAGTTTTATACCTTGCTTTATCATTCTCTCTCCTCTACTTAATATGTGTGTTTAAATTGAATGCGTCAACTAAATAAAAACGGAGGAAATATAATAACAACTACAACTACAAACAACACAAACAACTTTACAAGCCTCTTCACGAATTAACCCAATAAAAAAACCACATCCTCCATAGATGCTAACATCCGGTTCAAACCCAATCGAAAAAATTGCATCTTTCACTTCTACCATGTCTTTCAGTTTACGTGGATTTCTTATCAATCTAGAGAGCAAGATTGAGATTAGAGTGAAGGAGATGATTCGGTTCAAAAAGGACAAAGAATAAACATGAACGAGGATGTGAGCTGCTTGACACATAGGAGTTGAATCGTTATTGTGAATTTTTTGAAAATAGTGATAGAGGGGTAGGTCATTCTTAATTATTGATTAAGTAGGTTAGTAATTTTGTATTTAATGATACGTTAGCAATTTAACAAGCTTAATAGGGTCACCATGTGTACTATAGTATTAAAAAGTTAAGTATCACTTTATGGAACAAATATTTTACCTTGTCACGAATTTTTAGAGCTCTAGAAATACCGTATAAAACTTCCATTGGTTTTGGTTAATGCAAAACTAATCTATGAATAATGACTCTATGACTATGACCCGTATTTTTTTTTACACAAACTATGACCCATATGTTCCGGTTTGTCCATAGCATAGTTAAGACAAATACTACCTCTGTTAAATATAACAAATACTACGGGCATGTTCTCTTCCGTTGAAATTCAGTTCAGTTCATTTCAGTTCAGTTCAGCTCAGTTCAGCTCTTAATTTACGTCTAATGATATTGCTAATGATATAAAACCAAATTTCATTCTTTTAAGCTCTTATTACAACGACAACAACGACAACAACAACAACAACAACAATAATAGTAATAATATTAACAATAATAATAATAATAATAATAATAATAATCAATAAGTAATAAATAATAATAATAATAATAATAATAATAATAATAATAATAATCATCATCAATAAATAATAATAACAATAATAATTGAAATAATAATACTAATAATAACCTATAAATAATAATAATAATCATCAATAAATAATAATAATAATAATAATAATAATAATAATAATAATAACAACAACAATAATAATAATAATAATAATAATCAATAAATAATAATAATAATAATCAAAGCTAAACGTCGCCCTCGAATCTCTAACTAACGTCCGCAAAATAAACTAAAATTACAAATTTACCCTTTTTAATCAAAAAAATTACCCCTCAATTTACCCCCTCTTCATACTACTATACCCACCACCACCACCTCCTCCTCCTCTTTTAACCACCAACTCCTTACCTCCGGTTTTACGATCTACACAACCGCGGTAATGACAAGTAAGGACAAAGGAAAGTCGGCCGCCGACGAAGAAAATGTTTTTTTAAATTTTTTTTTTTTAATTTGCGGCAAACGCCTAGATTTTTCGTACGTCCTAGGCTCAAACGCCTAGTTCTTGTGAACAACCGTGTGGTTGTATGAAAAATATGGGCGTTTGAGGTGAAACGCCTAGTTTTTTAGAATACCCTAGGCTGAAACGCCTAGTTTTTTCGAATAGCCTAGGATGTTTCGAAAAAACTAGGCGTTTCAGTATAAAGTATTCTAAAAAAACTAGGCGTTTCAGCCTAGGGTATTCTAAAAAACTAGGCGTTTCCTGGGTTTTGAATCTTTTTAAAAAATTTATCGCGACGTTCCGATTTCATACGGTTTGACGAGCCTTCTACAAGCGTCTAAGGTTGTGTTTCATGTATTTCGTCGTTGTCCATAAGATCTAACGAAATTGATTTTGTAAAATTTTAAAAATTTGTTTGATTTTGAAACTCACGGTGGTTTGGGTGGTTGTTCGATGAGCGTTGGTGGCCGTTGACCACTAGAGAGAACGGTAAAAAAATTTGTGTATAGTAAAAGTGTGAAATTGAGGTAAAATTAATTATTTTTTATAATCATTATTATAAGGATAAATACGTAATTTTATTTTATTTTGCGTGCGTTAGTTAGATATTTGAGGGCGATATTTAACAACCCCCTAATAATAATAATATTAATAATAATAATAATAATATTATTATTATTATTAATATATACATTTGTATATACACATATGTATAATAATAAATAATCAAAGATCACTAATCCGTATTTAAAAATCACTAATTAATAAGTTCAGTTCAGTTCAGCTCAGTTCAATTCAGTTCAGTTCACTTCATTTCATCTGAGTTCAGTCAATCGGAACAGGCCCTACCTCCGTTAAATATTGGTTGCAATACATTCGATAAAAAATCGTAAACTTGGACTCACCTTCCGGACCCAAAACTTGTATACATCTGTGTATTCTTTTCACCAGTCTGAAACTCCAACTCCGACGCCATTAAAATACCCATCTCAAGCTTCTGCAATTTCGATGCAATTTTCCCAAATAATGTACAAAAGGAGAAGATTGAGTCAATAGAGCTCATCCATGTCTTCGTCTCGTTGATTCTTCTTCCCTTTTATGGCCTCTTCTCAGCAACATCGTTGCGTCTTCGGTTCGCCCTTTTCTTCTCTTTTTATCTGTTGATTTTTGCACAAATCTGGGAATTATTTGTATTGTTTGTTTAATATATTTTTGTTTTGATGTCGATTTTTTTTGGAAATTAATAGTTGGGAATATACCTTATGATGCAACTGAAGAACAGCTGATTCAAATTTGTGAAGAGGTTGGCCCTGTTGTTTCATTCAGGTTCGTTTCTTGTAATTTATGCACAATTTTGTTAATTATAATTGGTTCTTTAAATTAAACCCTAAGTTGTAGTTTTATTGCTATTGCAAAATTTGATGTTGCTAGTATAATAAACGAGTTCCAATTTTTTGTTACTAAAAATGTTGATTGGAAATTGGTGCACTGTTAATGAAGCTTCAGCTTTAGCTCGAGAGTATCGTGTTGCTTCGTGTATCACTCGATTTTGGCTGGGGCTGATCATGGGATCTTTTCTTATAACCGGGGCTCGATTTTTGTTTTTTATGTTTAACATCATATTTATATGGAGTACTAGTTGAATTTGACCTTGCAATCTATTGATATCATAGGTTGAATGCCAACTGCCATGATAAAAGTGGTCTATGCTGTCGTTTCTATAATTCCGGATTTGGTTTTATTACTTTCAATAGAAAATGTGTAAAGGGGGAGGAGTGGTGGAAATTTGCTTCACTTACCCCTTAGTTCTGATTATGTTAGTTGGCAAGGATAGTTATTAATAGGTTAGTGGTGAAGTAGGCCGAGACTGGGAAATATGCGCAGAATAATTATCTTCCTTTTTATATCATCGATTAGGATCAGAGGTGCAAGTCTTTCAGCTTCATCAATGATTCAGTGTCTGTTTTTAGTGTGATGTTTGATTGTAATGCAAGTTGAACTTAAACTTTGGACTATAATACATTATGTTTGTTTGTTGAAGTCATTTGCATTCTAGTACTGTTTTTTTAAATCTATTTCTTGTTGAGTGCTTTCCTAGGTCAAGAATTTTCCTAATTAATTTTTATTTTTTATTTTTTTTGCTTTTTTTCAGATTGGTTATAGATCGTGAAACTGGGAAGCCAAAAGGTTATGGATTTTGTGAGTACAAGGATGAGGAAACAGCACTCAGTGCTCGCCGTAATCTTCAGGGTTATGAGATTAATGGCCGGCAGTTGCGGGTAGATTTTGCTGAAAATGACAAAGGTGCTGATAGAAATCGTGAACAGGTAAATTTTAAGAATCCATGGTCTGTTGTTTTAGTTTGTATTATATTATTTCTTTCTGGAAGTACGTATATAGATTTATTGTAGCAAAGTTGTCTATGTGCGATTCTGTCTCTCATTTGCATAGTTGTTATTAATTAATATCTGTAAATCTCTGATAATATGAGTTGCGTTAGATGCAAGTTTATATATATTTGGCCCCAGATGGCCAGATGTGTAAAATTTCTTAAACCTTAAAACTGTGATTCTGTAGGACTATGGGTTCTTTATTCTTAGGGGTTGTTTGTTTAGAGTTTTTGGAATGGATTGGAATGAAGTTAAAGTCCAATCCATCCATTTTGTTGTTTGGTTAGGCAAATTTAGGTATGGAATCTCATACTAAGGGGTTCTAATTCCACCCAATCCCCCTAGAATCCCATACCCACCTTATCCCCTAAGATTCGCTATCCCTTCCTTTAATGGATTGTAAAAGAATAAACCAAACAAGTTTAGACAAGTATGGGGTTTAGAACCACACCTTCCTAGTATGAGATTCCATACCAATCCATTCCAACATAACGAACCAAACGACCTCTTAGTGCTCTTGGATTGGAGTGTAGTGGCACAAATAAATTTTCTGCTAAGAGGGCACTATTTAGTGTTCAAATATGGTCAGCATTCCTTTTGGCTTCAACTAAGTGGATAAATCCAAGGGTGTTTTGAAGGGCTTAAGGATGAGCGGAGGTGACCACATATTCTTGGGGATCTTTTGTCAATTTAGGTAATGCTTGGAGCTAGAACAAGTTGTACACATACAGTGTATGGGGGAGGTTTGCTACCAAACAACCTCTTAACATGGTGTGATGGTGTCCGAATTAGTGGCTATGGACAAAGGAATTGAAATGAGTTATATCTGATATTAATTTGTAGATCCTCTGTGTCAAACACAACCGGATGACCTAAAATAGGAGTTGACTCAGGGTTTTAGACAAAGGAGACTTGTGGAATCTCAAGGTCGTGGAACATGTTAAAATTTATGCTTTGAGGTGCATCTAGGACTCTAGGTATGTATACTTGTATATCCTATTGTTTTAAGATTTCACATTTTATACTAGCTTTTACTGTCATTTCCTTAAATTTCAAGGAAGAGATTTTTGTAGAATAGATGTTCTGCACATCCTTTTGAGGCAATCCAGCAACAAAGAGGTGGGCTTCTAAGAACTGAGGAGAGGGGACTACGGCTCTGATCTCCTCACCTTATTTGTACCTACCCCAGGTCTAATAAGTTTAGTTTAGGGCTAGTAAGTTCAGAGAGGATAATTAAAGGGCTAATAAGTTCTAGATAAAATAATATAAGGGTCAATAAATTCAGATAAGATTATATAATGGCTAATAAGTTCAAATAAGATAATATTAGACAAAGGTTGATAAGTTCTAATTAAACCTTATAATTAGGTCCTATAACGTCTAATATTGTCCAATAAGATAATATAAGATAAGGGCTAATAAGTTCAAATAAAATAAGACCTGTGAATGGAACTCGTAGTGAGGTGCATACTTGAACTAAGTTCTAACAGGTATTCTATAGTAGAAAGGGGAATCATATACTCATGGAATACTGGTAGATCCGTAGATGGTTTAAGGACAGTGAGATTGCTCAACTTGGAAGTCTTTACTTTGGAGGGGATCTGCTGCCAGAGGGTGAACAAGGGTCTCTTGTTTGTGGGATGCTGACTGTTAATGTTCAAGACTCTAAGCTCTTTAAAAGATTGGTCGGAGGTTAAAGCATCACAACCATCAATCTAGTAATACAAGACAGATATTTTCCCAATTTTCACCCTCCAGGACTCACTATTGTCTTGGAGTATAAAGTCACTCTAGGCTGTGAAGGAAACATTTGAAAAAAAAAAAATAAATATGATTGGAATCAACCTCTCTTGGACACAAGATCTTTAAGCTAGTAGGTCCATTAAGAGAGGAAGTCAATTCTAAGATCTAGAAGTGGAATTGGCAACTTGGAAATCAGAATTTGGATTGTGAATTATTTGAAGTTTGGGCTCAAGAATGGTTTTCTTTGTGGAGTTTTTTTTTTTTTTTTTTTTTTTGGGGGGGGGGCTTCTCTGACTACAAGCTCTGAAATTGCTCCTTGTTTCTCTTTGCAGGGTAGGGGTGGGCCAGGATTGGCAACAAATGTTGGTTAGTTTAGTTTCTTCCTCAACTGCTTCAACTTTTGGAGGTCTACCTCTATCTTGTTCATATGGAGGTGACCTGTTACCATATCTTAATGGAGTTGCTATGTAAACAGATACTCAAAAGCAGGTAGGAGGCCCGGCTTCCATTAGGGACGCAGCATTACATCAACCAATTGGCCTCCCAATCGCTATGACTGCTGCTTCTGTCATGGCAGGAGCTCTTGGTGGTTCTCAGACTGGTCAGATTATTCAAAATGGTTTGCAGAATCAGTCTCTAGTAGGCAGTGATCCTTTAACCCATCATCTAGCCAAAATGTCCAGGAGTCAATTGAACCAAGTTATACAAGAAATGAAGGTTAATATTGCAAAAGAGATGCATTGAAGAGTTATAATATAATTTCCATCTATTTACTTTCAATCTGTTTACAGGTGCTTTCTATGCAAAACAAAGATCTCGCACGTCAACTTTTGCTTGTGAGCCCACATCTTCCAAAAGCTCTCTTCCAGGTTCTGCTCAAATCTGAACTTCTTCCATTGATTGGTGAAAATCCCTTAAGTTTGTTCTCTTTTGCTTGGTGTAGCATCTGGCTTTCTTCAATTCTCTGTGCTTCTGTTTATAGTATTCTTGCTAGCTAGTTAGTTAATGCTATACGATGATATTATCTTCCTGTTTTTTGATTTGGATAAATGGAAATGTCAATTTTGAGCAAGCCTCTGGAGTAATGGTCATTTCACATAAAACTATGATACAATTTGTGTCACAAAAGCCTTGCAGAATTAAGGCTGAAAAGTCTGGATTTACCAATGTCTTGCCTCTCCACCAGTCTACTCGTAGTGTACTGAAATCTGGTACATCGTACATGGAACGGGTGTCGGAACCTACTTTGGTAGGTAGCTTGTTTGTGGTTCATATGATAGATAAATTAATATGAAGTAAGTTTTTGAGGGTTGTGCTATGTTGTGCAATTTGGTTATCAATTTTAAACTGTCTTACAGCCTTTTGCGTAGGTTTTGAAGTTTTTATTTTTATTTTTTTTATTTACTACTACCAAAGGAAATCTATATGCAATAATGCAAATAAATATATTCCAGCTATGTTAGTTGCATTATTGCTCCATACAGGTAAATAGGTTCAATTTAAATAATATAAACTTCCTAGCTGCATTTTAAATTTGTTAAAGTAACTTGTAGGGAAAAAGTTATCGCTTATCAGACAGTGGACCCATGGGAAAGTCAAGAACACAAAGAGTAAAATACTTATGGATAAGTTTCATAATATTTCCAATTCCTACGTACCAAAACTTATTTTAATAAACTGAGAAGCCTTAGAGTAGCCACTCTAATACCATATACACTTGAACTTTTGAAGCTTCCAACAACCGCAAGACTTGAAAAAGCTTTCCATCCTGCTTCTTGATACACAATAGCATTATGTCCATAACTCTATAAGTCTAACCATTGATGATGTGATGAATAACAAATCACCCTTTATCAACTATATTATTTCATCTGAAATACATCCAATTTCACCTATAAAATATGCTATAACTGTTGGTGTTCAATCCAAAAGAGGTGAAAAAAATCCATTGGTAGATGAGGCATTAGCCATTAAAGTTTTCATGCTCCTTTGTTTCATTGTGACTGCTGTTTTCCCTCTCAGGCTTTCCACAATGATAGTTATAAAGAATCTGGGCACTACTGTTGGTTCCTTATAGTTTCACCAATGGATCTCCTTAGAATTTTGGAAAATTTTAAAACACCTTGATTAATATTTTGTGTTGTTTGTTGGCCCTATATATCCTTCACTATGCAGTCTTGATAATAGTGATGGTCAGTCCAGTTTTTTATTTTTTTTATTTATTTTTATTCTTATTTTATTTTTTTATTTGTGGATCTCTACAGTTTCTTGTCTGCTGGTCTGTATACCAAAACTACTTTTTATTAGGATATTTAAGTGATATCTTGTTTGTAGAGTAGTTTGTACCAAAATATAATTTCAAAATGAGTTCTGTGCAGAATGATATTATGTCTTTTTGTTTGAATTTGAATGCAGACACAAATAATATTGGGGATGGTGACACCTCAAATGGTATGTTAAATAAGCCTATGACAATGGAATATCATACAAACGATTTTATATTATTTTATTTTATATATATATAAAGTTTGAATAACCTTACTTTTATGGGTACTTTCAGTTGCAGATGCCAAATATAAGACAACAGATCCCAAATTCTACTATTCCAATACCTCAATCTTCAACGCAACCTACCATGCAGGGTCACCCTCCATCTTCTCATACTCTTCCTGGGTTGCCTTCTTTCACTCCATTATCCTCTATGTCCCAGAATCCATTGGCACATAATCAATTCACAGCACCCTTGCCACATCATCCACAACCACGAGCTCAGCATCCAAATCTAAACCAGATGATTTCACCACCACAAAGTGCAGTGCCTGCACACTCTGGGCCTTCATCACTGATATCTGCACGGCCTCAACCTCTGGGTGGTTTGCAAATGCCACCTGTATCTTCCTCTTCATTCAGACCGCTTCAAACTCCACCATTGCAACATACAGGACATGCTAATATGACATCCACTCAAAATACAAAACTTCAGCCTACTTTTCAAAGCCAATCTGTGCCGTCAGTTCCTGTATTTCAGGTAAGAGAGTTCCCTGGTATATTCTCGTGGTTTCATTGATGATAATAAAGTTGAAGAATGGAAGCTAATTTAAGCATGTAGAAACTTGCGAATTTTATAGAACGTGAGAAATACATGATGGGGCGTAGGAAAGATGAGCCATATTTCTAAAACATAGTTATAAAAATTTAAGTACTAATTCTGCGGAGAATTAATTTTGTGAAAATTGTTGCTACATCAGGTTGCCTCTTCAATACGCCCTGCGTCGGTTGAGGCCAATCGAAAGGACATTCCCAAGCATGCACAAAGTGTCGGGGATGCAACTGTGGCTAGTCGGACAAACACCTTGACGAACTATGCTTCAGTATCTGATAAAAAAGATTCTCAAAATCAGATGGGTCGTCCTTCAAAACTTAGGAAATTGGATGATGACAGAAGTGTGCCTTACTCACCTGCGGGATTAGCTTCACCAACTGCCATTTCCATTGCAAGTAGCTCTGCTGCAGCTGGTCAAAGCTCTGGTGTGGAAGCACAGAACACGGAGAAGCAAGCCCTACAGGTAATGGTGCATCTCGCCTCTATTTATTTTTTGATTAATTCATATATGCTTCTGTCAGAATAAAAAAAAAAAAAAGCTGCTTTATGTTATAATTTGGGTTAGGCTGTTCACCTTAAAACACCTGTTCTTATCTGGTATGAATTCATTAGTCCTCATTTGAATTGGAATTGCTACTCATTATTTTACAGTGGTGGTTGTATTTGTCATTCTTTATCCCTAAACCTCTTACTTGTATCCTTCCTTTTTTGTCTGACTTTATAATGTGCTCACACAACCCTTTTTTTCACTAATGTAAGCCTTCTTAGCATGTGTGCTAGCCAAATGAGGCAAATAAGAACAGATGGAGGGGGTTAATTTAGCAGGACCTAGTGTTGGAATATTAAGTGTACAAGTACCAGTATTTAAACTAAAGCCTCCTACTTCACATTACCAAGAGATAAAGTAGGATTTAGAATGTTTTATTATTTATTTAATTATTAGTCAGATTGCAGCATGTAGTCAGTTGTTTTGTTATCATAAAAACTCCTGCCCTTTCTGGAATTATAGTTCATGATGTACAAGTAGCTACATTCAGTTGTGAGGAGGGAAACTGTGAGGATCTGTAAGATCATGGTACACAATTTTATATGCTTAGCATGCTGTTTAGCAGCCTAAAATATGTAAGATCTTGGTACACAAATTCATTTGCTTAGCTGTTCTATGCTGTCTATTAGTTTCCAGGATCTAGAACGTCAATTTCTTAATTCAAGTGAATATTTATTTATTAGCATTCGTGATATTCTGCAGATGCAGCTTCCACCTGATGTGGAGTCTGCCTTGTTGCAACAAGTGCTGAACCTAACTCCTGAACAGCTGAGTTCACTACCCCCAGATCAGCAACAGCAAGTCATTCAACTCCAGCAGATGCTCAGATGAAACCTTGGGGACTTGTCGAAGTCAGATGAATTTGATAAGAGGTAATGGTGCACACACTGGATAGATCCACGATCATGTGGATAAGGGAGCTGGTTAATACATTTATCAAAACCAACTTACGCTTCCTATGAGGGCAATCAGGTTCTAAGATGCTTGAGAGCTATCTAATTCTTTGTAATTGTTGTGAGCCTTTATAGAGATATACGTAAATCAACTACAATTATTTATAGAAAAAGTAAAATTTTGAGCAGTTGTCTTGTTAGTCATGAAAATTTAGTGACTCTGGCTGTTACTAACACTCTTTCCTCTATCTTCCTCTCTTGAGATTAAATGTACTTTTCAAGACTTCCGATAGAGATGAAGGAAGATAGAAAAAAAGGAAAATGGCGAAAGCATTTTAGAACCCGAGCGGTCTAACCTAACCCCCGGGGCGGACCCCAACCGAAAGACGCTAGACAGACTCCTCCCTTCTCAAGCGCTCTTCCTCTCTTCTCACTTGCTGGATGAGCCCCTTGTTCCTGATTTCGGCGAGACTGTTTTGTTCCAAACCTGGCGGCTCTGACTAGACCTTCTGGTTCGCCTGTCCTGAATAGAATCAGGGGAGGGGGAAGGCCTTGGATCTTGATTCTGGTATTTGAGCCCTATCCGCAGTCTTTCCACTGGGGGGAGTACCCCCCCCCCCCCTCGTTGTTCTTCTTGTTCTATGAGGAGCGCTCACGTAGCTAGGTGACTGAAGAAAGAGAGCTTCAGTAGATGGCCTTTCTTCTGCAGTTGATGTTATGGATCAGCCTCACTCTTCAGGCCAGCAGCTTTACCCTGCAGTTAAACGGCATAAAATGAAGCTTAACAATTCGAGGGTATTTCCTAGCTACCAGAAGAATGAAGCTAACTCTAACATTTAGCACCTTCCTTTCGGATGGCCCCTGATCCGTGTAGACCAAGGGCGAACACTCATCGTTTACGGCATGGACTACCAGGGTATCTAATCCTGTTCGCTCCCCATGCTTTCGCACCCCAGCGTCGGTAGGGACATCCAAATAGCCATGAGAATGACAATCATCAAAGAGGCCTAAGCCCATATTCCCTTGGCACATCCAAATGATGTTCAGTGGTCTTTAGCCCCCGGAGTAAGAGATCCATGATAGCCAGACAAAACCACAACTTTCATTATCTGAATAAATCACGTCTTCGCACTCGTCTTTGGCTCAAAACAAAGAAGGAAGCTTCTACCATAGATGTCGGTTACGATTGATTATATTGATGTATCTGTATTAAATCATAACCATTTATCTTAAAAAATTTAAGGGCATGTTCGATAACTTGTAGTTCTACTCTTTTGGTTAGTTAACTCAAATGCCCAAATATGTGCAACATTTATTTTTAAGGAAATCTTCTACTACCTCCGTTAACAGTTATTTGCAACATTTACCCAAAAAGGGTGCTAACAATTATGTGCAACAAACTTATTTCTTTCTTATTTTAGTAACTTTTTTTTTGTTAAATTGATCAAAATACCATCACTTTAAAATTATTAACACATAATACTACACATAATTACAAAACATTATAACCTTAATCTAAATTAATTATCTAACCCTTCCCACTCTAATAATCAGATTAATCATCTCCCATTATCTTTCTCTCTCCTCTTCATTTCTCAATTCTTCTTCTTCATCTCTCTTCAAATTCCAATCCATCCTTCTAGTGGGTTTTAGATCTAGTAATTTGTGTGTGGTTTGCTTGATTCGTGGTTGGAATTGGTGGCTTTTGGGTGGATTTGCATATTTGTGTCTCTCAAACAAGCAATCAGACAAAATATTCGTGGTTTAGATGTGTGGTGAAAAGATCGGGGGGTGGGGGGTTTGAGAGACACAGCTAAGACGATTGATCCCGTACTATCTAAATTTTCCGCCATATTTTCAAACCCACTCAATTATTTACACACGCTCTCTTTAGCTTAAACATTTGTATAATTTACGTCATCATTGGTATAGTAGAGGTTGCTTAAACGAGCACCGCACGTGTCCTAACTAAATTTCCATTTTTTTAAAAAAATAAAATAGATTGATATAACAATATACATTTACGACAAGATCTAAATCTAACTACTGCATGACAATTGAACGAATCAAATAAAATTATCATTTCAACAAAGCTACGACTATTGCACATGGAACATTCTTCATGTGCACTTTTATATCACTATATCTTGTAGCATTTTTTTTAACAAGGATGTCTATCAATCTTGCCAAGACTAACCTTGTATAGTTGTATGTAAAAGACTAGCCTTCTCAATTACGCAAAAATCTTTACCAGAAAACTACTAGAAAAATCACATTTCATTGAATGAATAGTCGCAATTTTCACATTTATAAAAATATACATAATAAAATTGTGCATATTGTAAATCTATTTACACAACAAACAAAAATCCTATTATGGTGTGTTTGGATTCTAAAATTTCATTTGAAATTCCAGAATTGGGACAATTATAGTGTTTGGATGTCCAAGAATTTCAAATGAGGAATTTGCCCAAATTATACAACTACCAAGTAATAACCCATGAAGGTAAGGATTTCAAATGACAAGGTAAACCATGTCATTTGAAATACTCAAATTCAATAATTCAAATGATGCATTTGAAATGAAATCTATCTTCCCAAACACAACCTTAAGGCATTTTACCATTTCTTATGCATTTGTATTGATAAGAATGATAACAGTCCTTCACCTTGTAAATGGCTTAATTATGCGACCAAACTTTTTTTTTTCAAGACCATAAATTTTAATGCAAAACTTAATTTGAACTTTTGTTTTCAAATCTACGACACAGTATTTCTGTGGAAGTATGCATTCCTTCGCATTGCATATTTGCATGAAGCATTAGATAGAATCTTCAAAGTAAAAATCTACGAACTGTTCTTGCAGCAACACGCGATAGAAATCTTGCAAGCACCTCAGATGGCAAACTGTACAACTGCTGCTGTTGTTCTGATGGAAGCTGAAATAGAGAAAACTTAGGATGCATTTGGTATATACTAAGACTAGTAACATAATGAAAAGATTGCATTTATATAATCAACAAATGTGCATTACAGCGTTTGTGCATGGTACAAGGTAAAAATTATGAAATTGAATATGTAGATCTATATAATCTAGCAAAAGAAAGCTAATACTTCTAATCTTACAACAAAACCTTTTATGTCACCAAAAAGATGAGAACTCATAACTGATCCTTGTTTTTCAAGATTATCATATTTCCTAAAGTCCTAATACTTCTAATTTACTTTACTATGAAAGCAAGATGAGCAAAATTTCCATCACTGACCAACTTCTTGGTCCATGTAGCTGTATTTTTATTAATGTCTTACTGAAAAGTGATCCAGCCATTATCCTCACAATGCTAATATCATACAAAAATTATGTTAAACATCAATCAATTCTTACCTCATTTACAACTGCAAGGATGGGTTGAATATCCTGAGTAGGTGGAAGCCGATAAAAAAGCTGGTATATGTCCATCGTTGATGACCGCTGATTTTCATTGATCTTTTCAATTTCCTACAACAGAACCAACATGATCTTAATTTATTTCCAGTGCAAATCTAGCATGGTATCATAAAATAAATAAAGTAAGCTCTCAAAATTAAAATTGAACAGATAATATCTATTGCTGAGTTGCTTTTACAAGAACTTGACTCATTTCTGTTTCAGTCAGCTCATAAGTAGTCCAGTAGTGAGTAATGAGTCTGAATTCATATGCACTAGGTAAATTTAATTTCTTCACTTCGTGAGTAAGAGAAGTATACAAAGTAGGCGTGTAGGAGTACTGATCCTATGTATGACCAGAAGTGCCTACTGCACACTTGAAAAAAGTAGCACTGAATGCAAAGTTAGTGTAGTTAATGGGACAATTGGATCATACAGCATTACTTAAGGAAGAGTTCTGAGAAAATAATTCAATTTAACCAAGTATGCCAACTTTAAGTAATGCATGTCTAGCAGCAAACTCAGAGTTCATGTAACAGGAATATTTAAAGCAACTAGCAGGCTCACTAAACAAGATAAATTAGAGCTCAAGCAAGTTCACCTCCCCAAATAAACATCAAAACATGTATAGATTTTAAACATTTGAAAGCTGCAGTCGAATCGAAAAAAGAACCAAATTTCTTTTGAAAATCTTCTTTATGGTAATATTATCTGCACGGCCTCATAAAGGCATGAAGCTGCTGCAAATATTGCAACAAAATCGCAGTAGAAGAATAAATGAGAAGAGTTCAATTAAAAATAATAAATTTGAGGAATCGTGACAGTCGCTAAAGGGTTAGGCAACAGGCCAACGGCTACAAAATAAGTACTTTGTAATTTGTCCCATATATATCTTCCAGCTTCTATTTACATCAGAAATTAAGAAAAAATATTCAATAGACAGATATATTGATATTGAATAGAGGAAAATGATTGAGAAGAAATTAATAGATAGAGCAAGCTCAACAAAAGGGATAATGAAGATCTTTTTTGGACATCCAAACAAATAGACTAAAAAGTTGAACAAGGGATGGAGGGATTGATAATTTTAACCATTGAGACCAATAAACAATATACCATTGAACAAGGAAGCCACTGCAGCATTACAAATGAGTTAGCCTACTAAATATACATATGCTAGAGCTCACAAATGAAATAGCCTTATCAGTGCATGTTCTTGATTGTTGTCTGCATTGACCAGTGTGATAGTGTATGTATAAAAAATTATAGAGATACTTACTACTCCAGAGTCCTGTAGCCCTGACACCAATAGCACAATGCGGCGGAAGTTCCTCAAGTTGATAACATCCTCATCAGCCAGGGGAAATGATAGAATTGGAACAGGAAAGGGTAGATATGCAGCAGGTCCAGAAGCTATTGAGTTTATAGTAGCAATCCCCAATGCATCTAAACCCTATAATTAAAAAACAAGCAATCAGACAAAATATGTGTCTCTCAAACCCCCACCCCCTGATCTTTTCACCACACATCTATGATTCTCACCTTCGCAGTTTCTTCAAGAAAAATCTCCCGAACAAAAGAACCCTGAAATAAAACAGAGTTAGAAATACGACAGAGAGATAGTGCTCCTTTTGTTTCAAGTATTTCCTTTAGACGAGCTTTTTTTCTGGACAAAAGAAATAGGGGACATCGCTTCGGTAAGATATAGTATAAAATGTATTACAGTCTATATAAGATACTTGCCCCCTTAAAAAAGGTCAATCAATAAGTCATCTAGAACCCGTCAAAGTAGTCCCCTATAATCCACATCTAACATCTACAATAAATACCATAGAAGCCAATACATCCCTAATGAAACTTTAAGACAGCAAAAAAGCTCTCAAGCACAATCCATTCCTCATGATTATGGAACAGAAATTAACAAAGTGAGCATTGTACATCGTATAATTTGTTCGTTTCTCTTATCTTGTGTGTATTGACATGCTCTTTTAACCAAATGTACCAATAGTGAAACCATGAGTTTGCTATTATAATACATTAGAAAAATATGCAAGTCATACTGAGACTAAAAGAAACTTCACAGAGGACAGAATACAAACTTCAATTAAATATGCACATGTGCCCATTTAACATGAAGAGCGGATCAAGATTCTGCAGTTCACTGTACCTGCTCTGCTAATGTGAAAGATAAAATATCTCTGGCAGCAATAGTTTTGTCAAATTCATCCTTCTTTACTTGGGTCTTATCTAGTCTAGCACGGCGCATCTGTTGTGACAAAAATCAAGGGTATTAGTAAGAAAAGTAGCAAAGGCAATGCCATGAGATGTATTAGTAGTAGTACTACATAATTCTGCGAGTATAATTTTTTGTTCTTTGTTAATGTATCTTGCATCAGTTACAGCTTAACCCTTTATATGCCCAATAATTTGAAAGTGAATTTTCGACGACAGATGAATTTTGGGAAAAAAACATTCTCACAACTGAAAATGTATGACAAGTGTTATATACAACACTTTATATACCCAATAATTTGAAATTGAATTTTCAAAGACAGAAGAGTTTACAAGTGAACATGTATGACAAGTGTATATACATAAGCCCAAGAACAACTAAAAAAAGTAAGATTCAAGAACAAGCAGAGGCATAAAGGGGTGCCAAGTTGCCAACTGCCAAAGTGGGGGTTCTCACCTCATTTAGTAGTGACTCTAAACGCTCGATATTGAAGACACCATCCTAAGAAGATAGTAGGAGTAGAGATTATGTAATGCACACAGCATGCAGTCATGATAAAGAAACTTTTTAAACATAAGAGAATGGTAACAATTAAAAACATAATAACACACAATCTACCTTGTAAAGTAAAGACTGCAAAGATGACTTTAACTTTGGTGAACTTCCCACCAGGACCTTTTTGGCAATCCATGGGTATGTACTACCCAGAACCTTGTAATTAGGATCAAAGCTAATTGCAATACCCTCCAAGACAGCCAGGCTGATATACAAAGGATGAAGCAAATATCATTTTTTGCGCGCACACACACACACAAAGAAAATATCATTTTGTGCACGCACACACACACACCAAGAAAATACGGAGTACATTTTTTGCACACACACACACACAAAGCAAATATCATTTTTGCAGACACACATGCACGCGCACACACACACACAATTATCTTGGAATGACGTTATAATGATTATTCTCGTTAGTTTTCCATTCTAAATTTTTACATATAAACAACAAAAAAAATAATATGGCTTGTTTATCTTCATAATAAATAAGTCAACATCTCTGATTTAGTTTTAAATATATTTTTTTTAAGAATATTGGGTCAGGAAATTGAATCGGATTTTTCTGTAATTAAAAACTATGGGTTATTAAGACGGAAAACAAATCGCAGACCGTGGTTCCGTTTTTGACTGGTGTAATTTTGTAGCGGTGGTGGCTGGATTGCCAGAAGGGGAGGAGTGGAGAGGGAGGGAGGAAGGAGGAGATGGGGTGGATCTGAATAGATTCGGCTTCAAGTATAGATAAGGCCACTTACAGCAGATATGGGTTTGGTTTGATGCCAGCTAATAGTGGTGGTGGGTGTGGCTGAGATCTTGACTAGTGTTGTTGGCTGTTAAATGATAGAGAGGAAAGGGTGAGGAGAAATGGGGAAGTAACGGTAGCAATGGTATTTTTTTAATATTCAAACGCTACCAAATATAGTCATGTTGCAAATCTTCCATGTACTTAGACATTTCCCTAAAAGGAAGTGTTGCGAGTAAAAAAAAGGAGTATGTGCTTATGTCCTTTGCTCAACAGGTCACCTGAATAAACTTCAATGTTTCAAACTTTCAATATTTTCATTCATCTGTTTCACTCATTGACCTTCACACATACCTTATGATCAAAGATTTTCACAAATTTCCTACCCAAACTACTGGCATCTCATAATCATTGCCCGAATTCCCTGCATTTGCATGGTCTACATCACACGTATTTCTTCTACATGCACACTTACAGACTGCAAAGCCTCTTCTGAAGAAAGCTACAAGACTACTGGATACCAAAAGGCTTTAGTACAGAGCCCTGAGTAACTGAATATACGAAGTAACTTTCAGTATCAACATTTACATATATTTGTAGCATCATTAAGTCCCAAGATACAACGAAGAACTGCATCTGTTTAAAAAAGAAGCAATACCTTCTTATGACAAGCGAAAAATATGAGGGTATCTGAAATTTGAATTTATACCTGAAATGAACAGCATATATGCATATCTTTAGAACTTTATCTTGCAGTCAATATCAAATTCCTTAAAGCAGATTTAAACACTTGCAATTTCATAAACAATAGACATTTTTCTCTTTTCTCAAACATATATGCAGGCATTCATGTGTTTCGTGTAAATCTTTCATTAAAGAATCTTTCTAACTTATTGAGTAAACAGCATATCATCTATTGATACTAGTAATTTTTAAAAGTTAAGACAAACATTCAATAATAGCAACTTTGGTTTAGCTTGACGAAAGTCGAAAGTTAATATTGCATAAAATCCAGCATATCTTTCTGAGAAGCGCTAGTTTATGTTCATAAGTTTTTCTTTTCAGAGTTTGGACTATCGTAGTGTTAAAATCCAGGCTCAGCATTTTGACCATCAGTCTTCCTAGTCTTCCTTGGATCTGTGCATAAAATTTTACATGCTAAAATTAGGAATGGTAATTTCTTAGTTTCTAGCCCTCTGCTAGCATATGACTCCCTTGTTGTCCTTCAATATATAACTTTTTTTTTTACATATAAACAAAGAATTGGATGCAAATCATCGTTTCTCACACCACCACTACTAGTAGACAAGAAGAAAAATTCACAATTACTACAACAGGTAATGTAATTCTGAGGTATGGGATTATTCTTCCTTGCCTTCTCTATACCTTAAACAAATCCATTTCCTCATACAGATTTTTTTACCTTGAAACCCCAAAGAGTCATTCTTGATACAACAAAGCAACATAGTCATTCTTAATAGGGTAAATTGAAGATTACATGGTAATTCCCAGGTCACCTAAGAGATCCCCGAAACTTATATTGCGAATTCCTCTAGAAACAGCATTTTGAAAGACACCTGGAAAAAAGAAGTTTTACCATGATCAACCTCAGAATTTAGGTATTTAGCCATGGCAACAGAATATTTTAGTACACAAGAGATTGAAACCTGTTAATGCCTTTGTGACAGCATCTCTCTCTGAAGTTGGTGGAAGAAGCCTGTCAAGATCAACTGCATATCAGAAATGGATTGTATTTGAAAGCCTACTACAGAAAACATACAACAAGAATATTACTACAAGATACCCTAGAGTAACAAAATCTCTAGCCAACGCTTCAAAGTCCCGGTTTACAAGATGAAGACAAGCTTCAATGAACCCATCACGTAGTTCTTCCTTAAAATCACCCATCATGCCAAAGTCTGGAAGTGAAAAAACAAAAGAATATGAGAAAAATAAAAAGTACTTGCGCCCTAGTAATACTTACAGACTTACAGGGTGACTTTGTAAGGCAAATGTCCTCACATATTAGAAATAAAATGAAATAAATAAACAAACAAGCTGCACAATGCATCAATTGCAACAGTATATGATGCACTTCCCCTAGTCCTTATGCTTTGGGTACATTAGTGACTATATGCTCCAGTTGGGAGGACTGGAGGATGAGCAAATTTTTCATTCAAAATTTGGGTTCAAAATTCCAATTTATGTAATGTATGGTTGGTGCACCCGGGTGCACCATGCGCATGGTGCACCCGGAAAGAACATTAGGTATATTTAAAAGAACATGGGCGAAAAAAAGCACATTATAGATATTTATAAAGAACGTGAGCATAATATGTTCTTTGAATTTGATTAATATGTTCTTTGAGTTTGAACTATATGTTCTTTACATTATACAATATGTTCTTTAATGTATGTATATTAAAAAAAAAAAATAATAATAATCAATCACCCGAGTAACTAGAAAAAAGAACATGTTCTTTATTGTATTATCATGTTCTTTTTGTAAAGACTTTATGTTATTTGGTTAGAGGTGATCAAAGTTAGACCGACCCGGCTTGATTTTGGACGGGTTTTGGGCAAAAAAATTTCACCCCCTAATTCGGTCGGACCCGGCCCGTAAATTTAAATTTTTGGGCGGGTTTGGGATTGCGTTATTATGCATTTTATTTGATTTTTTATACTCAACACGAAAAGCCCGCACGGCCGGACCATTTTGGGCAGGTTTGGGCACAAAAACTTCAGCCCAAAACTTGGCCCGACTCGAGAAGTGAGCTGATTTTTTAACCTTGGCCCGGTCCGCCCAATGATCACCTATATCTTTGTCAAATACAAACATGTTCTTTTTTGTCAAATATAATGTTTTTTTTCAAACACGTTTAACCACCCAAATAACCATGAAAAATAACATGTTCTTTGTAATGTCATGTTCTTGTCAAACACAAACATGTTCTTTTGTCAAACACAGGTATGTTCTTTTTCAAAGACTAGCATGTTCTTTTTTTTTTGTCCATGTTCTTTAAAATATGTCTAATGTTCTTTCCGGGTGCACCATGTGCATGGTGCACCCGTGCACTATACTATTTTCACAATTTATGACAGGAAGTGACTCTTGGTTTGATGCTTTTTAGAGAGAGAAGGGGAAGGACAAGCAACAGCATAACAAGAAAGGATGAAAGGAGAGAGAGAGAGAGACAGAGAGAGTATATACCCAACATACCCCTTTTTTCTTTTTGGTATATACTCTTACATTTAACACATTAACAAAATAAGAGTAATAGCTTTCAGGGGTTTCAAAGCAACCATGCTATTTAATCTTTCCCAAAGTCTCCAAGAGATTTTGACAACAAATTTGGAAAGGTAGTTCACAATGGTGCATTCTACCAACACACTAATCCTTTTATACCATGCAGACTCGCTATACAAGCAAAAAAAGTTAAATCAGTAATTATTCATATATAAACACCACAGAAGCACATTGTTGCTTCAAAATGGAGCCAAAGAATCATTATTCCATAGTTTTTGGATTGCAATGGACTAAATATTCATTTTGCAATAAATATCTACGCTTCTTAATTATTGTGAAATACTACCGCCGTTAAATATTAGTTGCAACTTTGGGGTATTATTTGTGAGAAATAAAATATTCCAAAGTTGCAACTAATATTTAACTGAGATAGTAGTAGATTGTTGTTGCACACACCCAACCCCGCTTCTCTTTCCAGGGAAGGATATGAAGGAGCCTTGATATAGGCTTTGGGGTATTGATAATGTTGCAGTCTTATAGGTTGTAAAACTTTGTCAAACCATCTGTTAACCTTGTGCCTCAATTACATTACACAGATATTTAGACTTTCACCAATATGAGTCTGAAAAGGTGGTGACAAGATTCACAAGAACACTTTAAACTCTCATCTCCAAAGTTACTGGTAGTTATATATGCTCCAGTAATACAGTAAGAGAGGCAAATATGGTACTTTACTACCTTATAATCCTCGTACAAATAAAATTAAAACTCATGTCACTATTCACTAACCTCATCTCTTCCTTCAGAATGAGGTGGCTAATGTCTTTCGATCTTCGCTTTTTAGTTAAAGATACAAGCGCTGGATGTGTTTTGCTTTCTTTGTGAGGCCACAAGCAGGCAAGGTGGATAGCAAAGGAGAATATAGCAGAGGGAGGTCTCAAAAACTAAAAGTGTGCATCTATGGCAGGCTTTTGGGTGCTTTGGTGAATATAAGTGCATTTTTTTCTTTAGTATGGCTACTAACATGTTGGTGTGGTTTTTTTTTTTTTTTTTTTTTTTAAATCTGGCATCTGGTGTTGAGATGCATACTTGCAATATCCATCATCATTGGCATGCATTCTCATGATTTTTTAATAGGCTAATTCGACCTTTGGTTGTCCTGTTTTATGGTTTTCTACTCACTTTAACTTAAAGATTATGTCATATAGCACCAGATAGTGCATTACTCTTCCACATCCATCAGGCAGACAAAACTTGGAAATCGCAGCAAGCAAACACAAACAAAATACCAACCCTCTATCAATCCAAAAGTTTAAAGACGTTAATTTTTATCACAGAATGAGAGTCATGGGTGTCCTTGAAATGAAATTATTCACAATTCAGAAAATAGATAAAAGAAATAAGAAAAGCCCAGCAAACTTCATGTAAATACGGGAAAAACAAGGCAGACACTGAAAATTGAAATGGAAAAAACAGGCATAGATCACACATCACAGCCATTGCACGAGAGAGAGAGAGAGAGAGAGAGAGAGAGAGAGAGAGAGAGAGAGAGAGAGAGAGAGAGAGAGAGAGAGAGAGAGAGAGAGAGAGAGAGAGAGAGAGATAACCCAATTACCCAAATAAGCTAGTTTTCCATCATATGTGCGCAGAAGGTTTCCAGGATGTGGATCTGCATGATAAAATCCATACTCCAGCAATTGATTAAATGAACAATAAACTCCTACCTGTCCATGAACACAATTTTCATTAGGCTATAGAATCTGACTATAGAATAAATGTAAAGATTTTCTCAACACCATCCAATAAAAGAATTTACCTCAACCAGATAAAGATCTTTAACTTCAGCCAATTTTTGCCCCTAAAAGAAAGTAAACGTCAAAAACAATGAGATAACATACAAACAGAACAAATAAGATAAGCAAGGACTATTAATCTAATTGTGGAATTAAGTTAGAGAATTCTAAGATCATATATATCAGTAAACAAATGATAATACTACAGTATAATAGTCTAAACCCATCAAAGTCAAAGTTATAGTATAGTACCAACAATATCATTCTTTACCTTCATGTATCAACTTGCTATAAAGTTAATATTAATAATGTATGAACAAACTTGTTGAATTGATGTTATTGTAAAATACATTTTAGTCCAAAAGTTAAATATTTACTCCATCTGTCTCTTAATGTTTGCCACATTTTCCTTTTTAGTTCGTCCTTTTAAGTTTGCTCCATACTACTTTTGGTTGTTGGGGACCACAACTTTACTCTCACAACGACTACATTTAACCCCACCACTTTTTTCTCTCATCAATTCTTTCAACCAAATGTTAATACTCCCCTCCAATGGAGCAAACAAAAGGGGGTGCAGGGAGTACATAAGAAACTGAGGTACGGTGTAGAACACTATCTGAACCACTGGACATGTTGAACAAACAAGACAAACCAATGAAACAAGGAATTTTCTTTTGTTGCTTATGTGTTATTAATAGTAATAAAGTACATAAATCTATCTTAGAAGCACTAAGCCAGTTTATTGGTAGCGACTACGGAAACGGATCACCACAATCCAAGCTAAGGCCTCTAAGTTCTCAGATTGAATTATAAGAATGGCCAGCAATTTACTAAAACAATTAAAAGCTCACAAGAAGATACAAAGTCTGGAATTCAACAAATAAATCTCACCTTAATAAATTGTGTCATAAAGATTCTAAACTTATGTGAAACACTTCTTGAATAATTTTTTTTTATAAAAAATCAGTTAATTCTCTCATTTCTAGGATGAAAACAAATTCGAAAATAAGGAAATTTTGTGTAGAACTACCCTAAAGATTGAGTCATTTGTGAACAACTACCCATTTTTATTTTATTTGTTTAGAACTACCCACAAATTTGAAAACATTTGGGTAGCACTATCCATTAACATTTTTCGTCCAATTAAGACGTTATCGGAGCTCACTTTTTTCACTTTTGCCACCCAATTAACTCTCCCAATTTGTATAAAGGTTTTAATTTACCTTAATTAACCTATTTAAGGTTTTAGTCGTAATTTATTATAGGGTTCTTGAGTGTAGTATTATTTGAGGATTTTAATTTCTAAGGTTTGAGGGTTTAATTGAATTGGGGTTTTTGCTTATTTTAGCATTAATTGACTATTGTAATTGAAAAAAGTAAAAAATTGGGCCAAAATAACGTTTTAATGGGACGAAAAACATTAGTGGGTAGTGCTATCCAAACTTTTCCAAACTTGCAGGTAGTTCTAAACAAATAAAAAAAAATGGATAGTTATTTACAAATGACCCTATCTTTAGGATAGTTCTACACAAAATTCCCCGAAAATAATGTTTACAGTTTTTTAAAGCTTCACTTAGACCTGCTAAGTCAAAATAAGGAAAATTCCAACAGCTAAGCTTCTTGTAGCATAAAGTAACCCAAGAAGTTAATCTTCCTACCAAAAAAAATCTAACATGCTGGTATTCACAACAGATCTGATATAGATGGTTTTCTAGGGTGTTAAGTAGGAATTAACCAAGTTGGTCATCAAAGCATTGGGATGATAAGTAAGTTTGTGACATGTGCCCAACAACAATTCAGTTTAGTACTCTAATAGGGATTCAAAACACTACTGTTGGAATATGACTTGAGAATCAATCGAGGTTTAGCATATAAGCTAAAGGATGAAGTACTTGTGTTAAACAAGGAAAAATGGAATGGGTCAACTTCAACTGAGCATATCTATCAAACTATTTTGAATTTTTAGATGATTCAAATTAAAGGTGAAAGCTTGTTTCAAGAGCTTTCCAACGATATGTCATAAGCTTAATTCCTATGAGAAACGAGGAAGTTATAGCTGGTTTACTATGAGTTGTCTGTGCTGACCTGAACACGGCTGCACGTCCATGCCAAATTTGGCACTTCCGTGCAGCCAAAGTTCCAGACGACCAGTAGCTTCTGGTCTGATTTATCTAGGCTAACACGTCCGTGCCATATTTGGCACATTCGTGCCTACCTGATATCTGACCCAACATTGACGGGGTATAAATACCCAGTTGGGGTTATTTTGTTATTTATCCCCAAATTGAGAGAAACACATTGAAAACTAGGGTTCTTGTTCTTGAAACCCATTTGCTTTAGAGTGGAAATTAGTGAGAGATACAACTATTCTCCTTGCTTTGGGTGGGTTTTATAGTCTTCAAGTAATTGCTTAAAGGATTTTCCCACCTTCCAAATTCTTGTCTCTTTTACTATCAGATTTCTTAATTGTTCTTTGCTAGTTACTTCATTTGCTCTAACAACAACCCTCTCATGCTCCTGCATATAGCAAGCAATTGAATATTTTCATCAATTAGAAATATATTTGCAGGTTTCATGAGTCTTATTCTACTTTGTAGAAGTTCATTTTCGTTCGCAAAAGTTCTTTACCATTACTATTTGCACACAAATGATGACAATGGGAGAGAATAATAAGATAGTGTTGATCTTGTGAGTAGGTGTAAAATAATAGGTGGATAAAGTAAGAGAGATTGAAAAAAGGTAGATGGGTATAAGAAAAAGGTGGAAAAAAGTAAGAGAAGATGTGTAAAATGATGGGTGGGTGTAAGAAATAGGTGGAAATATACGAGTGAGTGGAAAGGTGTAAATATTGTGGGGTAATGTAGTAAATGTGTTTTATTAAAATAGATAATGTGAAAAACTTTCAAGAATGGAGTTATGGAGGTAGTGCATGGTATGGTTATTGTACTCTCAAATTTGGAATGGGGTAAGTTCATAACTGGGAAAATCGCAAGCTGGAGAACAATTTATAGTTCATAGTGCTTAAGTTCTGACCCTCTGGCCAGAGAGGACAGTGCTCCTTCTAGGAACTTCCACCAAAGAATCTACCGGCTCAATTAACCAATGCTGTATGCTAGTGGACTCTCTGGATTGGAGAATCTCATTCAAGGTTGTCCTGATCAATAAAGAATGACTCCAGATCGGAGAACCTCTTTAGAGAAATAGAGATTGTCCTGATATACTTTCTTGTAGTTCACTTCATAACCTGCATTAATCTTCAAATCCCAAGGTCCTTACAAAACTTAAAACCTTTGCATGAGAAGCTTGTTTGAAGAGGCTCATGAAGAATGACCAACTGTAAACTGGAGAACACACAAGTTCACCTCTGTTTATTAACTATATGTTTGGAAGTAGCAAGAGAGGATTTTATGTTATCATGTATGCAGAAATTTTTTATCTACATTGCACTCAGGAAAACAAAAGTGTACCCCACCAAATATATCAACAAAAATGGAGCACAACATTTTCATATGCAGGAAATTTTAAAAAATTTCTATCACGCATTTTCACACTGCTCATCTAAAACTTCTTTAATCAGACACTGAATTAAAGTAGTCCAAAATATCAGAAAAAAAAAATTAAAAAAATTAAAAAAAAAAAACTGTCCAAATAAATGTGCTGATGAGGAAGCTATGTAAAAGGCAATAAGAAATTATAGAATGATATTTACCTCAATCCATTCCATGATTAAGACTTTCTGAGTTGTTTTGTCAATGTACATCTGGGGAACCACAACATCAGGAAGACCACCATACAACTCTCTGCAGGTATTGAAAGAAAATTACATACTAGAATCAAACAGATATGACGAGGCAGGGAGAGCTGAGGAAAAACAGGAAAGAATGCAAAATTTCTTTCTAAGAAGGCGGAAGAGAGGACAAAGATGTCCCAAATAACAAAAAGGAGAAGAGACTTGATTCAGAAACCAAACCAAAATTATAAGCAGCCCATAGGCAGTCATCCTTAATTAAGGTCAACACAAAACTCTAAATATTGAAATTGCAATAAAAAGAAGCCAAATAGGACATCAGAGCAAAAGTCTAGACTAATACGTAATTGAGGACACTTGTCAGACATTGTCTCAGACACCACAACTGAGAGTTTTAGAGCCTTTTCACCTTAATAAAACATGACTACAAAATTATATAAAACTTCGGACACGGTGTGTACCTTGTATAAAGAAACAGGGGGAAAAGCACTAGGATGAAGTATTTGGAATGTAAATTCCAGGAAGATAGAGGAATGTGACTTGCTTAGAAAAACCTCTGTTTTCCTAATTATATAACTGTATTTTTTTTTTTTTAATTTAATAAAAAAACTGTATAGTTGTTCATTCAACATGCAAATTTTTTACTCATATTAATGCAATTAGTATTATTTTTCTATCGTGAACTACTTTTCTTTCTATCACATTACCTATTTTGATCTTTATTTTTAAACATATAACATTCTTTTTGTTCAATTTTATATTTCCCTTGAAAACAGCCTTTCAAAAAGCATCTACGTAAAAGGGTAAGGATACGAACCTCTCCAAACCCCTACCTCAATAAACATCATATTAGGTTGTTATCATTGTAGGCATGTAGCTACACTACCAAATTAGGGCTTTTTATTCTATATACATAGGAAATTTTCAAAAAAAAAAAAAATAATAATAATAAAATAAAATAAAATTGGACTCAAACAAATTTAAAAGATGCCTTGTCTAAAAGAATAGAGACTTGAAAGAGACCTTCAAGGGTTCCTGGTTGTAATGTTATCAGTTTGGATATAGGAAGTTTGGATATAGAAACAAAATATAATCAGGACCTACTCTTACCACCTTCATCATACCACTATTGACAAGGAGAAAAGAAAAAGGTAAAAGATCATGTCGCGACATCCTGTAGCACCAATAGTAGATTTAAAACTTAAAACTAATGACAACATCAAAAGAACCATTGGAATTAATGATCGGCAATAACAATCAAAAAGAGAAGTTTTCAACTGAATTTTAATAACTTCTTTCCCTATCCTTGCTTTTTTGACAACCTAAACCCTTGCTATTGTAAATGCCCACCCTCATAAACCCAAACAATAGTCCTCTGCTCTCTATCTGAGCCACCCAAACTTAATTCTATGTCATCTCTTAGTTAAATCTTGTTCAGTAATAATAATGAAGTCGATGATGATGTATAACTATAGTTCATCATTCAGCAAATATGATACTGGCCATTTTTATCTAGTTAAAAAGATCCATGATTAGTTAATATCAGTCATGAGCAAAAATCAATTTTAGTCATTAAAAATCAGTTCAAATTTGTAACGTCAATTTCAACCATTAGATATTTCAGTCATAGTAAAATTGAAAATAACAAGGACTGTACACATTGTCATTACCTACACACAGAAAATTCCTTGCCAAAGAGAACCTTAAAAGTTCCAACATTTTAATATATAATTAGCCTCACTCACCTGAATTTTAATCCATTGTTTGCTTCTTTCCTGTAATCCATCTCCTGCATTCAATTTGATTTACCTGTATTCATTATGAAGCTCTAAGGATATTTCTTATCTCATCTCTCACATTTGACCATTATAACAAATTTAAAATAAAATGGTAATGGTAAGTGTAAAAAATAGAGAGAAAGTAACAACAGACAGGACAAGATAATAGAATCTGAGAAAGAAGTAACTAATGAAAATGCATTATACTAGTAGCATCCAAAATCTTTCCTTCAGTTAGTAGGATAGTAAAAAATGCAGCAATGCACCCTTTTCCCAAAGTTAAAGGAAATTTTGTCATAATTTTCAACACAGAGGTGACACCTATCATGCCTATAATTAAGAACATAAGCAAGTACGAGATGAGCCAATAGCCAAAAAAAGGCCCTCGGTCAAAATTTTAGGCACATAGATGATCATAGAAATATGCAGACATGATGATCAAAGGAAATAAACTTACCCTAAAAAGGCTTGATGCCCATTCATCAACAACTGCCTGCAAATAATAATCCACTTGTTTAATTATAATCATCAATAGAAAGAGAAGAAAAAAAATGATGTGGATTCCTAATCAGAACTTATATTTGCAACTTTTATTTCATAACATTTCCTAATTATTTTAAAAGAATATAATGAACAAATGATGAATAGTCCTAGAAATACATGTTTATGTACAATACTAGGAATCATTCCATATAGATCAATTATAGATCTTTGATATGGATTGATATGTATCACACACATTCGAATTCACTCAGACATGAGCAAAACAATAATATCAAGAACTAACTAACATAAGACCTTTTGCAGTTCAATGACAATCATTAATTCATCCCATAGGCCATAGAAGCAAGATCCACTGCATTTTACAACCCTTTACAACACAACAATGGCAGTATTCATTCAATATCACTGCAGATAGTCTACAATGTAATTCTCCAAGACTGGACTATACATATGACCTGCTGTGTTCATAGGTCACTCAGAGTCTACTGACTTTCTGCACAAAAATAACCATATATGGGGGTGTCGAGGAAAGTATGTTTAGCCAGTAACAAAGAGAACATTGATATATCATACTATACATGCTAAATAGGGAGAAGGTAGACCAAGATCTAAAGTCTAAAATCAAAGAGGGAATTTGCGAATAGAAAAAACAAGGTTTTGACTTGTGTGTGTCTAGATCCTAAAACTAAAAAATAAAAACCTGGAAAAAAAAAATGAGAACAAGATGGCATGGCTGCAGCTGACCAGGAATAAAGCTCATAAGCAAGTGAAAGTGCTAAGAAGAGTAACTATAATGTTAAACGTCAACTGGAAAAGAGGAAAGAGGGAGGACAACAGGGAATAAATTTAGGTCCATTCAACCTCTCAAAACAAGAACATAGGATGTCCATCAGTGCCTCAGTGGCAAGGAAGTGAAGGCCAACATTTGCTTGTTTGTTTTTGTATGTATTATTTCCATATTCAAAAAACCTGAGAGCATCACAGTTACTAGTTAGGATTTAAATTGTGGAGAGGTTACAATTGCAATTCAAGCAATGTTAATGCATTGTGGAAGTGTACTCTGTGGTGTCATGTAAAGTGTAACACTTGATGTCATGTGGCATGATTTTGTTATCAGCTGAATCAACTCTATTACTGTCATGCATCATCCCCTGTGAATGTTTAAGTTTATAATTGTTGCAAGAAGGAAATAGCATCATTACCTGTAAGTCTGTATTAAATTTTCCTGCCCTCCGAATTATCCCTGCAACAAAACGCAATATAAATATGTCCAAGGCAATAGCAGCTTTTACACCAGGTCTCTGGACCTTGACAGCAATCAGCTGTCCACTTGCCCGAAGTCTAGCTTGATAAACCTATTCAAACATTCTTTTGGTTAGAAAATCTTTTTCTTAATCAGAAACGAAAAGAACGAAGTGTCAGTTGAATAAAAGTTACACAACAGAAACTAGGGACACAAAAGTGCGTCGGAAATAATAAACCCTCCATTCATTCCTATATAAATACATCACTTGCCTTATTTGGCCGTTCCAAAATAAATGTCTCACTTCTATATTGGGTAACCATCTATAATTGTCTCTCTCCTATGCCATGATCTTCACTCAGGTTTTTTGTGGTTTCTCTTTCTTATTAAACCCTTTTATTTTAATAAATAATTTACCCACTTGCATCACTTTCACAATATAATATTACTATCCAAAGATTCTTCTAAAACTATGTGCCAACACAAGTGATGCATTTAATTAGGAATGGAGTAGTCCCAGAAAAAAAATTGACATGTTTCCTGTAGTATGAGCCTACATAGGCTAAGATTCCTAAAAACAAACCAGATTTCTAATTGCTCACAAAGTCATGATCCTATATACATGCATTCAACATCCCTCTCATGCCAGATGGTAGCCCAATCCTGCCCCCCATCCCCCTCTCCCCCTCCATCTCTCAGTAACAAGATGATGACATTGATATCATTTATGTCAGAACGCAGAAAGGAGCACCAAATATACACCCCTAAAATGTAATTTACTCTTTCCCACATCAACCTTGAATCAACAATTACTGATACCTGGCCAAGAGATGCAGCAGCTACTGGCTCTGATGAAATTTCTGAAAAGATTTCATCTATCGGCATCCCAAGTTCCTTCTCAATGGTACTAAATGCCACTTTATTGGAAAATGGAGCTATACGGTCTTGTAACACTGAAAGTTCATCCAAGTATGATGGTGGAATTAAGTCCTACGAGAAGAATTGATGCATAAGATAAAAACATAAACATGAGTTTATGACAGCAAGAGGAAGAATGTCAAAGAGCCTTTGTTAGATTCTTGCTTTTTTGACATTCATCCAATAGATGAAAAGAGTGAACGGTTTTAGTAACATTGAAAACAGTTCATACAACAGTTTATACATCAGAAGAACAACAAATTTCTAAGGATCAATAGAAAGGAGTACCAAATTAAGCAAAAGCTTCTACTTAACTTTGCCAAGAAAGATTTCAGTAGCATAGAATAAAACTCTTTTTGTCACAAATGTCTTAAGTGACAAAGTAAAGTTTGACCAAGATAAACTATGATACTTAATTATTCCAAAGCAGTTCCACATAGCTAGACAAAAATACCCTTCATTGATTAAAATTTCCTTTGTTCTTCTTAGAATGTTTGGAATGTTACACTATTCACAAGTGCTTCTTTGATCATCTTTTATGAATCATACATTGGAAAAAAAAATAGTCATGTGGGATTTTTTTAGATTTGTCTCGAAATAAACTTTCAAAATATCAATTTTTTATATTCTTTGCTAAAACCACAATTTGAGATATTAAAGTTATGAAATGGCAAGCAAGTATCCTCAAGGTTGCAATTAAAAAAAAAAAAAAAAACAGAGGAAGTAATTGCAACTTGCCAACACTGGTACATAGTGAATTATAAAATATGTCCCTTTATCAAATGAGCTGGACCGGTGATTGTAATATACTACAGTGCTGATTTTCCAACTAGGAAAATTTGGTGGGAAGAAAGAGTATATAACTCCACAACGACGTCTCTATGAGAACAACTGAACACATCTTGAAAAAATACACCTAGTTACATGTTCGTATAATTCTAGCTAATCACCAAGATAATGATTAATCCAAACTCATTTTAATACAAGATAAGTGCCACATCACCCCCAACGCCTGAGAAAAGGCTACTAGTAGGTTCAAAACACTTTTATGTCAAAATTCTTCCTCACAATCTTGTGAATATTGGTGAGGGTTGTAGACACTAGACATGTATTGTAAAATTTCTAGCTATGATCACTTTAAGGTTAAGCACAACCTTAAAATAGGTGGTGCCAGTGCTTACTGCTTAGTCACCGGGACACCAAATACTGTGTTTCATATCCTAATTAGATTGTTTTGTGTGGTAATGTAATAATGTGATTACTTAGTTGGTTATAGAGCTTGTGTTCTTAATTTATGTCCTCAAAGATGTTTTTGAAATAAAATTACTTATTATCACAGGATGAAAATGGAATCAACTCATATTGTCAAATTTTTGGGAGTTTGTTACTTTTTATACGTCTTCCATTTATTTAATTGACTACAAACGAGGATGTGCAATTGGAATAATTTACTTAACCAAAAGACAATTTAATCTAGTTTATCTCATTTTGTTATTATGGGTTTTGAGATTCTGATAGTTTACTCTTAGCTTGATCACTTAATTAAGGGTTTCACTTTCCTAGTTGATTACGAAATGGATAATACTCACAAGGTTTTGATGAATTTTCAATTTTAAAAAGATTCACTTTAAGAGGTGTTACAGTTGGTGTTAGACATTTCCAAATCATTGCCTCCACCATCTCCCTTTCATAGTATCCTTAATTAGGCCCTGTTCACTTCACCTTTTAAAAAATAATATTATCATCTGCAAACAGCACATTGGCTCTTCATCCAATAAGGATACCATGAAAGATCTAACTTTGCATGAAAACCTACTCTAATGGTCTAAATTCAATCGATAAACCAATTATCATTTGCAAACAGCACATTGGCTCCTCATCCTGTAATCCTGTCAGCTTGTTCAGGGTAACTGCAACAAAGAAAGGACTTGTGTAATGGCATAATGTGACCCATTTGTAATGGGGAAATTCCCTAATTCTTCTGCACATGTTCTGATATTTATTCCCAATCTCTGATTCTCTTTATAATACTAAATTATGTCAATATATTTGTGAGACAAACACCCTTATTTGGTAATGCCACCAAAGTATGTACCTTGGTACCTCATCATAAGAAATTTAAGGATATGCTCTCCTCACCTTAAATTCACTAATTTCATGAAGAAAAAAAAAATTAGGATAAGTTCTAATTAGGAAAAGCAAGTTCATCTGAGTTCAACTCACAATCAAAATAAATCCTAAAAAGTTTAGATAAGTGCAGTTCAAAAAAAAAAAAAAAATTAAATTAGTTAAGTTTAGCTGAAAAGGTTCAGATAAGTGAGGTGAATAGAACAGCACCCTAAAATTCAGTAGAAATTGTGTGCAGCTTCTTTTTCTCTACATGTACTACTTCCTTTTGCTAAGTTTACAGCCAAAGAGTTATTTTAAATGGTGCTTCCAGTCACTGCTCCAAGCCTCCGTGTTTACAGAAGACAAAGAATAGGAAATACTCGGTCAAAAACTTGAGAAATAGAAAGTATTCAACGCAAAATGGTATTACTTGTACAGATACACATATTTAACAAATCCAAAACAGTAGATCAGCATCAACAAACACTAAATTGATGATAAAGGCAACTTACAGATCTAGATGAAATAGCCTGAGCAATTTTGACATAGGCCTGCAGTGAGAAAGAAAAGCTTGAGATGGGTTACCCAAGAAAAGAGTATCCAAAATAGAAATGAACCAGGTCATAAGCTAGCACAAACAAAAAAAAAAAAAAAAAAAAAAAAAAAAAAAAAAAAAAAAAAAACAATCCATATAGAAATTTTATTTCCCTTCCTTATTTTTATCCCCAATCTTCCAATATCTAAACAAAACCATGCAGAAATCTGCAATAATAGGAATAATAAATTAAGTGCAAGATAGAATTATTCTGGTGGCTGAGACATGCACAGAAACAATAGACTATTGGTAAAGGATATTCATCTTTTATATATCATCCATTAGAAAACCAGACTAACTTTTTGAAGCTATGATCTGACAAAAGCATTGCAGATATCATGCACCTAGTGCTCTAGTAGTATATCAGGTGATAACAAATATCTAAACCATCGACAGGACAGAGCATGGAGTTACCAAACAGAAATTAATGGAGATAACAGATACATTAAGTGTATGTGAACAAGCTATGCATAATTCAAAAGCACAAAAACATGAATGAACAAATTGGAGACAGCATCATGGAATCCAAAGACGATGTGACTTATCAATACCGGACCGAGTTCAACCAGAATTTTCCGAAGCTCAGCCGCTCGAACCTGCAAACAGCAAGAAGAAACATTTATTAAAATTTCTAACGAAACAACATAGTCAAATGTCAAAACTCTTCAAGGTCAAAACCAACACAACCATTGCAGCACTCCAAGACGTTCAAGTAAGAATATTGCACCTGAGTCAACGTCACATTATGTCCTTGATCATGATACAATTTAATAGTGAACATCTATTTGCTTTTAGCTGATAATCTACCAAACGTTAGCTTCCCCAAGGCCCCATCGAGCAATAAATTATATAGTTTTGATAAAGTCCAAACTCTACAAAGGTACAGTGATGTACAATAGTGGATGTCGGACCTGGCTATCGGGTGGACCAGGTCGAGTCAGTGTGGATTAACAGAGGGTCATCTTAAAAAACAGGCCAAAAGCTAGTGTGGTCAATAACGGACGGCCAAATTAAAGAGGGGAAAAGAAGAGATGGAAAAAAAAAAAAAAAAGTAACACTTTACTATACGCGTAAATTTATTAACCTTGACAACTCTATATTTTCTTATACAAATTATTAGGATATCATATTGTCCCTATACGCCAATAATGACCCTTTCCAATAAAGAGTAGAGATCATGTCCATTGAAAGCCATGTCCAATAAAAACTCTTTTATCATGACCCTAACCTTGTGCCCATAGGAAAGAACTGTCTAGTAACAACCAATCCTAATTAAACTGGTAAAATGTTAGGATGATCTATCAAAGACTGGTAATGGAATCCCTTCAACATCATTGCCCTTTTTGGCCCCTATACTCTTATAGACCCCAAAAAAAAAAAGAAAAAAGATCATGAGTCCTGTAAACAAGAGTTGAAGGTGTCTTTTAAGATGGAGCCACTTATTAATAGACCCCGAGAATGGCCGACTTAAGATGTGCTTTGCGGATTGAGGGAAATATGGTGTTGAATATGGGTGTGTGGAGGGTAAAAATTCACCGTCAACGACATGTCATGATTTCATATATACTTTAGTTGATTTTATATTAGTATTTACATTTTCTACCAAATTCGTGTTTTATGAACTTTTTTTATTTTCTTTGCTAAGGTTTTCTCATACCTTTATGTTTTTTACTCGCATGTTTTTACCACTCTACTAAAACTTTCTTGAATTTTATTTTTGGCTTTCTTTAGAAGTTAGCACTCTCTTAATTTTTACCTAGGTGCTCTTTCTTTTTCTCACTTTACACACTTTTTCCGAACTCTTTCAACTCATTATCTTGTTATATCCCTTTTTCTATATTGGACAGTTCCTTATGACAATTCATGTAAGACTTTGTTGGTGGTGGTGGTGTTGTTGATGATATGAAAATGAGATAGTGTCAAAATCGAATATATATCTCTTTTTCATTTAATTTTTTTCACATGTATTCCATACCTCCTCTGCTCCAAAATTCTTGTAATGTTTCCATTTTCATAATTGTCACTTTGTTATAACTTTAACCAATATCTACACTTATAACAAGTATAAATCAACAAAGATAGTCCATGATTAATGTAAAAGTCAAAATATTACAACTATTCCTAAACTATGAAGCATGAATCCTATTTCTACATTCTAAACAACATCGGTCATCATATAATATATAGTCTTTTATTTTGTTTGCACAGTCTATCATTGACCATCAAATCTTAATTTACAAATTTTTTAAATAATTATAAAAACTTGATAATATAATAAAAGTACACATTGGAGACAATACAACGGTACCTCACATGACTATAGTCAAAGTTAAAAAGTTTGATCATGAATATGAAAATGGACACTATGGGCCTCTTCTGATACGATTATTTTCAGTTAGCTGACCTCTCTAATAAGTTCACTTCAATTCACTTCAGTTCCTAATTTCCTTCTCTTATAAAATATTCATTTCATTTCAATTCAGTTCAGCTAAAATAAGTTCACTTGTTCAACTCTAATAAGTTCAGTTCATTTCAGTTGAGGTCTAATAAGTTCACTTCAGCTCTCTTTACAATGCAATTGCAACCAAGAAGAAATTGAAAGAATAGAAAGAAAATTCAATCACCTTGAACATGGTATCAGCCCTCTCCATAACCCCATCAATATACCGAATTCCGAACCATTTTCCAAGCGTAGTACCAATCTGAAACAACCTACGACCCAAAATCAAAGGCTTCCTTCTGTAAATTGAACCAATGCTCGCAATATCGTACTCCGAAAGCGACTCCGCCTCCGAGTCACTGAGCTTGAACAAGTACCCCGAGTTCTGGGTGAACGAGTCGACGTTTCGGGAGGCGGAAAGCGACGTCGTCCGATGATGCTGAGGGAAATTATTGAGTTTTGGAGAGAGAATGAAATTCAGGTTAGGGTGATCGCCGGAGAATGAGTGGAAGAGTGGCGGCGACGGCGACGGTGGCCGGAGTAGTAGGGGCATTTTTGGAATTTAGTCTCTGAAATTCCCGGGAAATTGAAAATTGTGTTTATGGAATGTGCTTGAGAAAGGTATGAAATCTAATTAGTGAATCTGTGTATGTGAGGTGTAGCCTTTGCCACAATTCCAAAGTTCCAATGGCATGGGCCACAAAAATCTAACGGGTATACTACTAGAGTACTTTTTTTATCTATTAGTCGTGTTGCTCTGGACTGAATCGAGTCATGTCTCGTGCTAGGTTCATGTGTTTTGGGGTTAGTTAGACCTGCCTCATGGCCTGATTTAGAAGTTACATACCGAGCTGAAATTTTCAAAAGGCTAGCACGTGCACGGTCCAGGCCTATATGCCATCGCCAGATTTGTGTGCCTAAGAGCATGAATATCAAAGAGGTACCATCCTCTCATTCATTCTCTCTCTTTACCCTATTTTGACACATCATACTCTCTTTCATGCACTAGTAGTAGTAGTAATTTGAATAATAATAATTAGTATTCGATAATTAGCTTACATAATAATAATTATCGTACTTTACCAACTTAATATGTTATAAATGAAATTTAATTTTATTTATAATATTGATGTGTATTTTTCCGTAATTTAATTTCAAAATATTAAATTGGATTGAAAATTATTTTGGTACAAATTATTTTATGAATCTTCATTATATAATCTATTTCAATACAAATAAAGCTTAGTCTATTTCATTCATTTGGCCCATTAATTTTATGTGGTCCAATCTTTCTACTTACCCTACAATATTCTTTCCTATAAATACCCCATTAATTCCCAAAATTTTGCCACACAAAAGGTTAGTTCTATTATTCCTTCCCCTTTATTTTATTTTATTTCATTTTCCTTTCCCTTTATTCTTCCTATCTTTTTTATTTATTTTTCTTTTTTCTCTTTTCTTTTTCTTCTTTCTTCCTCCTCTTCCTACGTGAGAATTAATTCATTGTGTCCCCACCTGCCGGCCGGACCCACCTGCTGCCGCCGCCGCCTAGTCGCCCGCGACCACCCAACTGGCAGCCACCGCATCCACCTTTTCCCCCTTCTTCTCTCCTTCTTTTCCCCTTATTTCTATTTCTATTTGCATAATTATATAAGTATTGTTTTGGGTTTTTGATTTAATTGTTTGAAATTGATATAATTAGTATCAAATCTATATTTTGATGGTAAAAGGTTATAATTTCAGATTATATACATGTTTTAATTTTTAGATTTCCGTTCGTTTATATTAATTCGGTTTTAATCAGATCATGTTCTGAACTCATCCGATTTTGATAAAAAAAAAGTAGTGTTTTCCATGTGGAAATAACGTTTTAAAAAAGACTCACAACCTTTGGTAGTGAGTACAACTCTCTCGTGGCCAAATTCATCCTGTAAATATGATTTTCTTGCAGTTTTTGATTTTTAACGAAGTTTTTATGCTTAAAATTTTCTCCTTGAGTTTGATTAATAAAATTAATTGTTTAAAGTTAATTAAGCATAAATTTATGTTTTTATTGATGTTTTAAGAGGTTTTCATCATGATATATTGTTGGAAATCACTTAGATTAATAATATTAATTGTTGGTTGTTTTTTAGGAAGTGATTATTTTCTAGGAGACTTTTAATTGAGTATTAAAGTGATGTGTTGATAAGGTTTTGAAGGGTTTTTAATTAATCTGAATTCTGGAAATAGTTTCTAAGTACTACTTTTGATGTTTTATAAAGAGGGTTTAATCACTCATTAAAAACGAAGATTATTAGGGGTTTTAAATAATTTTCAGATTTTTATTAAACTTTAAATTTGCTGTAATTTCATGTAGAAGAGTGTATTTTAAGGTTTTTATGAAGAAAATTTAAAGAACTATATATAAGTGTTATACCCTAAAATTTTCTATTTTAAGTTTCGAGGACGAAACTTGTTTTAAGGAGGGTAGATTGTAATACCCGAATATTTTATGATTTTATATAATATATTTTATTAAACAATAGTTTATTTTTATTTATTAAATAACTTTCCTAATCTCATATTTTTTATTTTAAAGTTCGAAAAGGTTTAAAACCCTATTTTATTTTAAATAGGACTCTCTATTTTTAAGCATATATAAACTATTTTAGCCCAAGTTTTTGATAAATAAACTTTTACAGCCGTTTTGATATAAATTCATAGCTTTCTCTTAACTCCATTCTGTTCATGGGGATTATAGTAGCAGCCATATGTGCTATTAATTTTTTTTAGATTCATGATCATCAATTGGTCAACTAATTACCTTTATTCCAAAAATTTTGAGTCATGCGCTGGTGAATTGGTGATTGAGCAGTAGAATGTTTGGAGTAATCATGTCATGCGCAATTGCAATATTGCGTCCTACTATTAGATCGGTAATCACACGAACCTATTTGGGAGATGTTTGTATTATAGCATATGTAATCACACTACCTTAATTAATTTTTTTTTGACTTGTTTGATTATAAATTGTTAGTATTAATTGTACTCCGTATTGTTATGTGTAAATTTTATAATTTGTGAATTATATACAATCATGATTTATATGTATATGATTAGTGTGTGGTATTATATGATTCTAATTGTCGTATTATTTTTGTCGCATTGATTGATTGTATTATTTATAGAGTTTTAATGTTGTTGTTATATGGAGCATTGTTTTATTGTGGTTTTAGGGTTATATATGCAGAATATTATTTTTGGGTTGTAATTATTGGGATTTTGTAAGCCTTAACACTCGACAGGTTGTTGAGTGTGGCGGTAATACCTCCGATTTAAGTGTATGCTTCCTCAATTTTATTTAAAGGTTGTCTATTTTTCCTTTATTTCTTATTTATTATTAGCTAGTAAATCGGGGGTGTAACAATAAGCCTTTAATTTTAACTAAAGGGAAGGTTTTAAAGTGTTGTTTAATTTGGATTTTGAAGGTTTTAAAATAGGTTAGTATTGCTGTAAATTTGATTGATTGGGTATTGATTGAGATGTTATTGTTTGGTTTAGGAGAGGAGTTTATTGAAGGTGATTTCTAGTTTTAAAGTGGCCAACCGAATTGTTTACACAAGGTACGTACAAGTTACGAAACCTTGCTTTTAGGTGCATGTTTAAGGACGGGTCGAGAACTTGGTATCATGTATAGGGATGACTGGGCTAAATTGTTTGGTTATACATTGTGATTTCCGTATATTGTGTATGAGGCATGTTTGAGATATAAGTATATGACTACGGTTGTGGGTGATGTATAAGTGATTGTCTTATCAATTGGATATGTTATGATTAATTAAAGGTTATGGATTCTTGGTTGTCTATAAGTGGAATTAACTTTGATAATGGTTCCATGAGGTTAATTTTTAATACTCTTTCATGAATTAATTATGATTTGAGTAGAGAAAGTTCATTAAAGTCTTTTAAGACGAGGTTCAGGATTTGAAGTGCCCTATGCACTTAAGGTGTTTATACACCGAGGTAGTTAAATGATTCATTACTAAATATTGTTTGCCACTAATAAATCAAGAATTGAATTGGAACTTTGGATTGCTTGGAATGATGTAATATTTGATTGATTATATTGTTTTGCATATAAGTCATCACCAAGTCTAAACTTGTAAATCATGTAAGGTGCAAGATGGATGAGCAATAAAACTCTGGATTGGTGCACATATGGAGTAATGACAATCAGGGGTTGGGGTACACGGGGTATTAGCCGTGCACTTTTCTCGAGGCCGTCTGATCTACGAGTTTCTTATTTCAAATACTTTTCAAAACTAGGAGTTAGATGAGATCTCATACTAACTACGATCAGGGAGTCGTGCCCGTGGTCGTTGGATGTTTATTGATGTTTCCGAAAGGAGGCATGGGGTTTTTCTTTTATTGATTTTCCAAATGGAGCATGGGTTGGACAACCTTGTCTATTGCGTAATCCAATGAATAAAAATAATGATTTACCTATTATTAATTAATGGAGTCTTAGGATTATAAATAGTTGAGTCATGTGTCAAGTCTATAAACTAATGATGCGTGATGATTGATTATTAGTAGCATGTTAGGGATTTCTTTTATGTTTTGCAGCTTGTATGTACTCAGCTTTGCTGATTGCGTGTTTTGTGTGTCTTTCTTTGGTCGTGGCCTTCGCCTTTCAATGACCCTGTAATGATCCAATCTTTACACTTGTAATATTGGGGAGCAGACTCATCACAGGTGTTTACATAGTTTGGACTTGCATCAAGGTGGTGGGATTTTGAGTGGAGTGTTGATTACCATTCACAGTTTACTTTATTTCTTACTTTTGAATTTATTTAAACTCTGGTTTTATTTATTACTACTTTTGTGGGATTTTGAATAAGGGCCTTAATGGTTCCAAGTTGTAAGATTTAATTTGGTTTTGGTCATTGGTTTTGAAATTTATTTATAACTGATTTAGTTTTTCCGCTGCTAATTTCTGATAAAGCCTTAACGTTTGAACACGTGGCGGTAGCACGCCAGTAATTCTCTTGGATTTTGTTCAGGGTATTCACAGGTTTTAAGAGAGAATCATTGGGGTGTTACATGTGACTAAACTTATAGAAGCTTTACTTCATAGAAAATTACATGTTTTTTTAATAGAAACATAACATTATTACTCCAACACATAAGATTACAACATCTAATATCAAATAAAAATACAAACGATTAAAATTACTACTACGTACGATTACATCTTAAGTACTACAACAAGTCTTAAACATAATGTTGTTAGCTGAAAGATAAACTCTTGATATAGAAACTAAAAGATGAAATAATTAATACATAAAAATAACTAGTACTTAACTAATATCTTTAAAAGAACCTGTTACTAAACTCCTCTCTAAGCTTCTTGTACACTTCGACTTCAAATTCATCGAGGACGGGTTTTGCCATCAATGAACGTAACATGATGAATTTCATCTCCTCCTTCTTTAGCTTTTTCCTATCTTCGCTTGTAACACCCCCAATTTACTAGCTAATAATAAACAATAGGAAAAATGTAAACTAATAATCCCACCTTTAGTCGATCTTCCATAAACAATCCCACCTTTTGAAATTCCAGAAACAATCCCACCTTAGACCCCCATCTTCCCTTAACAATCCTTTACCGATTGGATTGTTTTTGATAACCGGTTTTCATAGGTTATAAGACACGTGTCATGTTTTA